CACTGCTACTTGTAACTGAATTTCCAGAACCTGGATCCATCGCATAATGCTAAGACGGGGTGAAGAAAGCTAATTTTGGAGCCCTTCCTTTCATCGATCAGCTCCTAGAATTTCTGAGCTTCTAAATGCAAACCAATGTCTTGAGACATTAACTTCTAGCTTTCACAGGAGCCCAATCTCAATGCTCACTCTGTCTTCCTGGGTCTCTCTGCTGCAATAGGCACTGAGGATCATGGTCCTCTAAAATCCCTCTACCAACTTGGCTTCATGACATTAATTGCTCTTGATTTTCTTCTACCACTTAAAATATGTTTAATTGTGGTAAAATATATAGAACATAAAATGTACCATCTTAACCATTTTTAAGTGTACAGTTTAGTAGTGTTCAGTACATTCACGTTATTGTGGACCCAATCTCCAGAACTCTTCAGCTTCCCTAACTGACACTCTGTAAGCATTAAACAATAGCACCCCACTTCCCCGTGCCCCAGCCTCTGGCAACCACCATTCTGCTTTCTTTCTGTCTCTATATATATGACTACTTCCATTTACTCATGTAAATAGGATTATACAGTATTTGTCTTTTTGGGACTGACTGACTTTACTCAGCATAATGTCCTCAAGTTTTATCCATGTTGTAGTGTATGGCAGAATTTCTTTCCTTTTTATGGCTGAATGATATCCCTCTCCTCAAATTTTGACTGCTCTCTCCATCTTCCCTGGCTTCATTTCTTCCTCTTGTTCCTTAAATATTTGAGTATTCCAGAACTCTAACTTTCATCCCAGTTTCTTATTAATTTACACATGGATTTGCCACAATTTTATCCATGCCCATGGCTTCAGCTACCATCTATAGATGAATGACCCCAAATCTAGATCTCCAGCCCAACTGAGATCCAGGCTGGATGGAAGGTCTACAGGCAACTATCTCCAATGCAGTATATTCAAAAGCAAGTTCATCTCTCTCTATTAAAAACCTTTTTCTCCTGTATTCTCAAGGACCATTCTATCCTGTTGCTAAAGTATAGGGGACAAGTATAGGTTCTTTTGCCTCCTTAGTGTCATTTTCACCTTATTTTTGTCACCTTACCCTGATTTTTCCCTGGAGAATTACCTGCTCCTTCACATTCAGTGACAGTGTTTCCAATGGCCTTCCTACTCAGATGCATGTGACATATTTGATCTTGTCCTCAGTCAATCAGTGCATAAAGCCTTGATGAGTTTTATACATATTAATTCATTTGATTCCTGCAATAACCCTATGATTTGGGTACTACAGTTATTCCCAATTGACAGGTGAGGAAACTGAGCCCCAGAAAATTTACGTAACTTGTTTAAAGCTGCATATTAAGTAAATGGCAGAACTGGAACTCAAACTCAGGCTGTGCTCCAAGACCCAGTACGTGACCACTCCATTATACAGTATGCTGCCTCTCACAGTTAGATAAAGAATGTGAAACTCAGCCGAGCATGGTGGCTCACGCCCAGCACCTTTGAAGGCTGAGGTGGGCGGATCACCTGAGGTCAGGAGTTCAAGACCAGCCTGGCCAACATGGCCATCAACCCCATCTCTACTAAAAAAAAATACAAAAATGAACTGGGCATGGTGGCAGGTGCCTGTAATCCAGCTACTCAGGAGGCTGAGGCAGGGATAATTGCTTGAACCTGGGAGGCAGAGGTTTCAGTGAGCCGAGATTGCACCACACTGCACTCCAGCCTGGGCGACAGAGTGAGAATCTGTGTCAAAAAA